CCGGTTTATTGCATTCAAAACTGGTCACTACCCCTAGTGGCGTGCACCTACTAAAAAATCGCATTTCGAAACAGTCGCCCCTCTAGTCCGCCGTAATACGCTTTTGATACGCTTTCCATGATAGGTACCTTACTAACCTTAGGTTAGACCCATAGTATTCCATTATTAGGTACACACTCCTTATGTCAGCAAGAATGGCTATGAATTATGCAATGCGATACTATTCATGTATCCGGGCCTCTGTGATGGGCCGGGCACCTGCCCATCTACCTACGAAGTACACATAGGCAATGCAAACCAATGGAATAGGTAGAACGCCGGTAATCAATACATAGGACCGAAGATTTTGGTGTCCCAATACGACCTTCTTCCATCCGCAGAATCTTCATAGTATGTCAGATTGACAAGGGATAGAATGTGTGGCCATTCCAGGTGCTAGGTATACGCGTAAGTTGGTTGACAAGACAAATCTCGCCCCGCCCCCCTCCCACCACCACAACGGACACCGGACTTCGTTCCAAAACGATACCTATGAATTGTTGTACATCAGTGATGATGATAATCACATGCCGTCAATGCCATTGCTGACATGATTAGGTGTGAGCAATCAAATGAAGTCTTGGGCGAAGATCGATGGTGTGGCATTCTCGGCGGCTTATGTGAGGTTTGTCTGCCCGCGAAAGTTGAATGCAGCATCATTACGAAGACACTTCCGCCTAAATGAAGCCAGCTACCCTAGGCTACCTAGGCAGCTCAATAACTCGAATGCAGTTTCATTCAATTCAATCAGTTTGGCCCCCCGAAAAAATGTAAATAGGAAGGAAGTGCACATATATATACTCTCCCATTCAAAAGCAAGATAAGTTGAAAGAACAGAAAGAGAAAAGAAAAGAGAGAAAAAAAAAAAAGAGAAAAGATTCTGAGAGCTGCAGGATTCGAACCTGCGCGGTTTCCCATCGCGGGATTTATGGTATACCGGGATTGAAATCCCAGCACTACCTAAACACGACGCCTTAACCACTCGGCCAAACTCCCATTGTGGCATTGGGACTGCTAGTCCAATCTATAGTGTGGTCAGGCCTTCCGTCGCCTAGTTTGAGCACACAACTCTGCGCGCAGCGGTAGGAGTCGATATTCTTTCCTGTTTGATTTTTTCTATATGTGAACCAAGTTCGGTGGAAACATTTCTTTTGCGAATCGAGATGACATGGTCCAACAATAGTAGGTATTCACTGGATGCATCTGCGTATTGCCCACAATACCGGACACACTCAAGGGCACAATCACGTCCTTAGTCATATCGGCGCCAGGAATTCTTCGCAGCTTCTTGAGATCAAATTTAACAATAGACTTGATGCTCGATTCAGATCTCACGTTCACGTGCAGAGATAGACTGAGGTCGTCGCTAGGAGGGGTATTGCATTCGCTAGGAGTACAGCAAAATCATCTCATCTCGCTCCCTGTTATCTCGTGCAAATCCACCGACCATCTCTGTCGAGAGCCTGCCAACAGCAAATCCAGAACGCCTCTAGATCCGATCGACGTCCATCATCAAATGCGTTGCGCCAAAGTAAGTCATCCCCATCATGATACACCTCGACGTGATGAGTTCGGCCGCGTCCGTGCATTATCGACCTCCCCTTCACAAACACTTAAACTGTCGGCGATGCCCCCCATACACAGACAGACCTGTCGAAACCCCTGGAAACGCCAGCAATATCACACGCCTCCGACCTTTCGGCATTAGGTTTTCCGACCTCCAACCATACCGAACATGCCCTGGCCATTTCCCTTCCTTTATTTTTCCGCTCCTCACTCCCGCCCGAGCGCATATCTCGAATTGGAACAGAATTCGTATTCCTCGACCGCCGGGAACTAAATCAATACATGTAGAACCTTGGTGATATAGTTCGAATTCCACGGTTTCATCTCCACAAGTGTCGTAGTGCAGCCATGAGATTATGACGGTAGCCTAGCTAATCTCGGTTTTCACGAACACCTGTAACCAATATCTGCCGTGGTAACTGCGGACTATCACGGTCCAAGGTGGTAGTATACTGCAGCGTGGGTCTGAATACCACATCCGCTCAACAGAGGCCAGCTCAAGCCACACGTCACCTATCACCGCCATGCGTATGATAGTTGTCGAATCTAAGTCGGGAACCCCGTGTTTTCGGCCTGAAATAGGGGCCAGTAGTGGCCGTTCCATGTAGATGAAGGTGAACGAAGATCGTCATTTGCGTCCTTGGCTCGCAACGTCTTTATGCTTTCGTTTGTACTCCATGTCGTGGTATCGTACCCAGTACTCTCTCATTCAATTAAAGGTTTCTTCTGGCCCCCTACCAGACACAGCCCTAATGTTCTTAGCGCATTAGGATCGCTGGCTAACACAACAGTCCGAGCAGGCAGCATGGGGTTGGTCTGGTCCACAGACGAAGCGTCCTTTGCAGCTTGTTCAATTGCATCCATCTCTTCTTTGCAAGCCTGATGATCTAGAGGACAAATCACGATGGGTTGTCGGAGGGTGATGTCTCTAGCTGAGGTCATGCTCGCCTTTGCGATAAACTGTTAGCAGATATTGCTTTTCTCAAAAGACTACGAAGTTACATTGGCGTATACATACCTTGATACTGAGAAAGAATTCTATCTTGTACAGAGTCGATGTGGTGGTAAAAGATGTAACCTCGTAGTTCGGGAACGCCGGCTGTCCTCTTCGGAGAATTCCATTGGAATCCCGTAGGTCTTTATGCGGAAAGATGACACCCATATTGGTCACATATCCCTCTTCCGGTAACTTCATTCCCACAGTCTGGACATATTTTTGTATTCGATTGACCTTTTTCGTTGGCTCGTCGCCCTCGGGATTGTAAGTTATTTCCTCCTCGATGCCCAATGTAATGCTCTTTATAGTGACTTTTCTAGCCTTGGCCATCCAGTCCAGGTTTGGGGCCAGCTTGATATAGACAGTGATGGGGTCCATAGGGCCATAACTCCACCTCGGTAGTGATATACCGAGCGTGACGATGTTGTCAGCCGTGGCAATCTTAGTCTCGGGCCGATTATACATTCCAAAGGTCGACAGTGTGTCGTATCGCTGTATAGGCACTGGGAATGCATACTTGTTTTGCACACTTTGGCCCTGCTGTACCGTGACAACCAATTCGTAGTACGTTTCTGCGGTCCTACTGGGGAGTTGCAATGATGCCGGTGGAATTCGTCTGTTTGTCTCCTCGCCGCCCCGTCCAAAAGGTATAAACAAGGCGAAGGGTAGATCCATAGCCATAACGTTGTCTGCTTCCTTACCAGACGTGCACCGATATAATAAAAGCTCCTTTCCAACAACGTCGGTGGTTTCCCGTCGAGGTGTGCCGAGATGGCGCTTGGCCACGTTTTCCGCGGCCGGGTGGATGGTTTCTCTTCGTTGTAGACATATTCGAACTAGGGAGATGGCAACTGGGGCAGAATATCCCTGCTGTGGGCGGATTTCGACCTTGCCCTCGATACGTGGCTGCAGAGTTCATGTTAGTCTACCTATGTTCGTTTCGTTGCTTACAGGCGTGGATGAATAAATCGGTGGACAGAGTTGAAAGGGGCTCGAGAGAGGGGCTCTATTGCGACACCTCTTTGGGGGAGGGGCAAAGGCAGTGAGGGGCAGCAAGATACGGCATAGAGCAACAAAGCACACAATACCTCCAATCCAACCTCCGCGGGGAATTTGATGTACTTACCAACGTTGCCGAAATCCCAGGGTAACCAACTAGAAAGTTGCTATTCGGCGGGCCCGAAACACGGACGAAGGCGGCTACTCGATCCGCCATGTTCAATCGCGCGAGGTCGTTGTCATGAAATTAGGTATGAATGCGACAATGATCCAATCGGAATTCAGCAGTCGCAGTAGCACGGTCCAATATCGACCATATCAATGCTATTTTACGGCCATGCGCCGGTAGGCCGTTTAGAGAAAGTGCGACGAGGAATGCGAAGGCAAGCGATTGTGCGTTATTTGGAAGTCGGCTGATTCACGATTGGGGCCGAGAAGTCGGTGTGCAGCGAGCGAAGAGCGATGAATAACGGAATATCGGTGACGGGTGATTGAAAAAGCCAGGAAGGACTTCTCGTCACGGCCAAGAAGGTCGTCGGTAAAGTCGACTATGCGATATGGATGGTACTCCGTACTCAAGTGGGATGGATGGTAGGGTGTTGTTGTTGATGGCGGGAAATCGAGTAGGAAAGCAGATGTTGGGATGAGAGAAGTTGCTAAGGTGAATGGCCGCCTGATAGGAGGCATGGATGTTTTGACCGAGATTCAGATTCAGATTCCGGTTCAGCTTGGGAGTGTAGGCACGGAGGTACACATAATACGTAGGTGGTTGAGGTGTGGTAGTGCCCAAGGCTGTTGGAACCGGAGCGGTTGAACGCTAATAATAAGGGCCAGGTCCGGTTGCTGCAGTTTCCAGAACATAAGTGGGGCAACATCTCGCCAAGACGCATCGTCCGTGCCTGTTCAGGGAACTATAAACCTTGGGGCTCTTCACCTTCTTGCTTGTTGCCGAGCCTATCGTGTTGCTCGGCCACCTGAGCTACTAGAAAGCTTGTTCATGGCCGAGCAATGCGGTGGATGGGCCGATAGAGCCCGCGTCACCTTCAAATTCAGACTGATGCATTCCGTATCACTGGGCCATTATTTCCCAGAATGCGGCAGTCGAACTTGCCTTACCTAGCACATACCTAGATACTGTACTACGCCCTATCAAGGGCGGGGAAACGCAAAAATGATACTATACACACAGAAGCTGGTGTGGTGTAACTACTGTGCGTGATCGACTGTCTACTTGCGGAACTGCATATGTACAGGGCACCTGAGGTCAGTACCAACCCATACACGGTAAAATACGTGATGGGCGCACGCGATGATGTGTACAGTCTGTAGCACATTGGTATTCCAAGTATCTGCCTGAGGCCTGGTAAGTGGTCAGGTACCTAATCTCCTCAGTGTCTCATGCATCTGCGCCAACTCTCGCAGGAAGGTCTTACTACGCAGTTACACGCATTGGGAAACCCGCCCTTGCAAAACTTGCTCCGAGCGTACCTGCCAGTATGTACGGCTTGCGTGTTCGAAAAACTCACGACTTTGACTGTCCTATTTCTGTATGAATACCTCCCTATGAGAGAACGGTGGTGGGAATACATCCAGTCGTCACGTATCTCTGAACCGTAACGAAACTTAGCAGCGCGGCCAAACTTCAAACGCTGCGAAACTAACTCGGTATTACCAGGGGGACTCATCATAGGAGAAGAGCAACTCCAATATGATAGCAGGTTGTGTACTATTTAACTCTACCAAGACATGTGTGGTGAACTCATACAACTGTAACCTGAAATCTCTGTACATCACGCATTGCTTCATATGCTATCAGTATAAAACCTTCACTACAAGATAGTTCAGGACGGAGTTCTAGCCGGAACGGCGGGATGGATGAGAAAGACATTAGGTTATTGGGAAGGTAAAAGAACAAGGCTTGAGGCTAAGCTTGCCAACTAAAGTGAGCGTTAAGACTTGAACCTGAGTGAAATCCAAACTGTAAATACGGAGTGTAGCTCCGGCAGAAATTTGGCATAAAAAAACCCTCGAGCGCGACAAATCAATCATTTGACCAGTCTACACTACACCAGTGCCCATTTGTGTATAGCCTAATGCTGAAGCAACTCGTGAGAATTGTGCTATACATAGCATTGAGCCTGGCGGCTCAGCCCCATACACTACACTACCTACATAAGGCTTAACGTCGAATATCCAACATGAAAACCGCATGAATGAAGGAAGGAATATATAAGGTAGGTAGCCTACAGCGACTAAATACTCGGTAGGTATTCTATTTACGGCGCTTTCGGTCGCAAGATCAGTAGCAGGCTTTTCTCAAAACTGGAGTCAACTTCAGAAGGGAGGAACAACACAAAACGGGCGGATCGGGTCGAATCAATCGGCCTGATTTCAGCTACCGGAATATGGTATTACACTCGGAAAGAACACCAGT